TTTTCCACATCCTCCCTCCCATCGCTCTCTCCCTCCTTTTCACCCTTGTCCCCTATTTTCTCCTTTTCCTCTTCCCCTCCCTCTTCCATTTCGCTCCTCCTCCTCCATTTCCCTCCTCCTTCCCCTCCATTTCCCTCCTCCTTCCCCTCCATTTCTTCCCTCCCTTCTTCATTCTTTCTCTTCCTCCTCCCTTTTTCCTCATCCTTTCCCTCACCTCACCCTCACCCTTCACCTCTTTCCGTTCCTATCCTCTTCCCTCCTTCCCTCCTTCCCTCCTTCCCGCTTCCTTCCTTCCCTCTTCCTTCCTTCCCTCTTCCTTCCTTCCCTCTCCTCCTTCCCTCCTTCCCTCCTTCCCTCTTCCTTCCTTCCCTCTTCCTTCCTTCCCTCTTCCTTCCTTCCCTCTTCCTTCCTTCCCTCTTCCTTCCTTCCCTCTTCCCTCCTTCCCTCCTTCCCTCCTTCCCTCCTTCCCTCCTTCCCTCCTTCCCTCTTCCTTCCTTCCCTCTTCCTTCCTTCCCTCTTCCTTCCTTCCCTCCTTCCCTCCTTCCCCCAAGAGCGGAGACGTTCAGCAACAGCACGCGGCGCTCCGAGACCAGGGTGACGGGAAGCGACGGTCAGACCACAGTCACCAAGGAGTCGGAGTCGGTGTCTTCAAGGTCTCCTCTTCTTCTTCTTCTTCCTTTTCTTCTTCTTCTTCTACTTCTTCTTCTTCTTCTTCTTTTTCTGCTTCTTCTTCTTCTTCTTCTTTTTCTGCTTCTTCCTTTTCTTCTTCTTCTTCTTCCTTTTCTTCTTCTTCTTCTTCTGCTTCTTCTTTTTCTTCTTCTTCTTCTTCTTTTTCTTCTTCTTCTTCTTCTTCTTCTACTATTTCTTCTACCTTTTCTACTTCCTCCTCCTCCTCCTTAACCAAAAAAAAAAAAAAAATGATGGCAGGATTTCTCTTTTGTTTTAAGAAACTTGTCGGTTCTTTTTCTTCTTTTTCCTCCTCTTCTTTCGTTTTTGTTTCTATTTTCTGTTGTTCACTATTTCGTCTGTTTGGTCTTTTTTTCTTCTACTTCTATCAATATTTTCGTTGTAACGTCCTTTTCTACTTTTGTTTATATATTTCTAGGCAACCCTCTGTGACTTTTCTTATCTTCTTTCGTTTCTTTTTTTTCTTTTCTTTTTCTCTTTCTTTTTCTCTTTCTTTTTCTCTTTCTTCCCTTCCCTTCCCTCTCCTTTCCTCAAACCCATTCTGCTTTGACATAACATTTGCCGACGATTTTATTCTTTTACTTCCACTGGCCTGTTATCTTTATCATTGTTGTGGTTATTTAGTTGATTTGGGGATTACTCGGGTAAAGGAAACAATTATGTCTGAATTTATGGTTAGTGCATTTATGGTGTAAGCACGTGCACCCCCCCCCCCCCTCCTCCTCCTGGTTCCTGCATGCGCATAGTACGTTTCTGCAGTGTTAGATTTTCCTTTTAAATTTTTCCAGTGAGAATAGATGTATTAGTTGTTTACTTGATTACATTTGGTTGAGTTTGTTTGCGGTATTTGGCAGTTGATTATTTTAAGGTATTTTTTAGGTTGGCGTAGAGACTATTACGATTGAAAATCAGGTAAAAATCATTGTTTATATTGTGTATAGTTTTTCGTTTGCAATGGTTGTATTGATTCATTTTTAGATGAATTTGTTTTACTTTGTATATATATAATATATGTACTTGTATATACATGTGTGTATATATTATATATATATATATATATATATATATATATATATATATATATATATATATATATATATATATATATATATATATATATATATATAAATATATATATATATATAAATATATATATATATATAAAATATATATATATATATAATATATATATATATATATATATATATATATATATATATATATATATATATAAAATATATATATATTATACAATATATATGTTTATACTTTACATTTTCTGTGTTACTATGTAGGTCTTGTTACCCTCTAAAAAAATGCAATGTTTTGGAACTAAATACTTTTAGAGAATATGTTGAATGATATAAGTTTCGGTTACACTGTTTTGATGTTTATTTAGGACGTGATCCATAATATTATTCAGGAAAAGGTAAATTACCAAATTTTAATAATTGCAGTACTTTAAAAAGTCAGGTTAATTGTTTGAATTATTATACTTAATGATGAAAGAATAACAAAAAAGTAGTGACGCCCACACATGCTTGTGAACCACATTTCATATATATCTTCATTTGCGGTATAAATCAGTCCGTATAATTGTAGCATAACTAATTACCTTTTCCGTTTACAGCCAGCAGCAGGAATCCAGCGCCAACCAGGGCACCGGCTCGTGGCTGGAGGGCATGAACTCGCCTCTCATCCAGCAAGAGGGGGACTGCAAACAACTCAAGCTAAGATTTGACGTCAGCCAGTACAAGCCCGAGGAGATTGTTGTCAAGACCGTTGATAATAAGCTTCTGGTGAGTTTTTTTTCTTTTTCTTTCTTTCTTTCTTTTTTCTTTCGCTGTCTCTCTCTCTCTCTCTCTCTCTCTCTCTCTCTCTCTCTCTCTCTCTCTCTCTCTCTCTCTCTCTCTCTCTCTCTCTCTCTCTCTCTCAGTGTCTTAGTGTCGTCTTTTGTATGTGAAGAAGGTAGGTTACGAGATCTTGTTCTTGTGAGATGTCTAAATTTTTCCTTTCCTTATTTTTGTTCATGTCTATTAGTGATGCCCCGTGTTCATAATAAGGAATAAGTGATGCAGATTTTTCTTTCTTTTATTTCAAGTTTTTCGTCTTTGATATTTGTTACAAAGAAAATCCTCCTGCTCCCCCCCCCCAGGTCCACGCCAAGCACGAGGAGAAATCTGACAACCGCTCCGTCTACCGCGAGTACAACAGAGAGTTCCTGCTTCCCAAGGGCACCAACCCCGAGCTCATCAAGTCCTCGCTCTCCAAAGACGGTGTCCTGACGGTGGAAGCTCCCCTGCCGGCCATAGCTGGGAACGAAGAGAAGGTCATCCCCATCGCACAGAACTGATTGACTGGTTTTCCTGTCTTTTGTCGTTTTCGAATTTTCGTTTTTGGAAGGAAGGAAGCCGCGTATAACAGGGTTGGAGGAATCGTCTCGCCAGCATCAATGTGTTTTTTGTTTTTTTTTCATGTATAAAATCGATAGAGTAAAAATTGTGTTTATTGTATGAAGAAAGGGAAAGTAAAAGCAAAGTCTTTTTTTTTTTTGATAAATAATAAATGTGATTTTCTTATGTGTGAAACACCTTTATTATGCCTTTGAAATTGCATGGGAAATATTTTCTTTCTAAGGTGTTATTTCAAATAGATTAAAATATAAAATTATGTCCATGATCATATGTTAAATGTACAACTGCCAGTAATTTAGACAATAAGGTAATATGTTTGTTTTGATAGGCAATGCACCAATTCCAAGGATATTATAAGATATGAAATCATTCTTTGTTGATTAAAATTTTAGATGTCTATTATTTGTTTTTCAAAAAAGAAGCCTGTTATGTGCATAACGTTAGCAATTTTCCAGACTTTGATATATATTAAGGAATTAGTTTTTATCTTAGTGGTATACTGGCTAAAAAAAAACATTTTTATGATTAGGTTCTGCAAAAGAAATATAGATTTTTCTCTTTCATACACATCTCTGATAGTAACATTTGGTTTTCAGGCTTTGAAAACTTTCTCTGGAAATTGTTTATTTTTAATACAAACTTATACACATAACTTTAACAAATAAAATGAAAGGAACATAACATGACTTTTATTAACCCCCATAAAAAAAATAATCAAATCTACATCATAAAGTCTTTTAATAATCTAAGTATTATATAATGCAAGGAAGTAGCATTTTAAGTTCTTATATCTGAAATCAGTAATATATATACTCTGGTTATTCTGTAGTGATTATATATATATATATATATATATATATATATATATATATATATATATATATATATATATATATATGTACATAATATATATACATATATATACAAATATATAATATATACATAATATATATATGATATAGATCGACCACATTCTCCAGAACTGCAGGGTTTACCGGAGTGCCGAGTTCTGTGGCAATGGCCATGGTCTGGCTGTGGCTACCCTATGGGTCCACTTCAAAAACTCCTCTTCCCTCCAGTGAACACTCGTGGGTCATCCCTCTCTGGAAGTTTAAAGGGGATCGATGGGACTGTAGCAACTACCGTGGCATTACACTGCTCAGTATACCAGGCAAGGTTTTCACCCACATCCTTCTGAAACGGATCTGTAATAAGACACCAGAGACTAGAGCAGTCTGGATTCACACCTAGGAAGTCCACAATAGTCCTTATCCTAGCATCGAGTCACTGTGGAACGCCGTTGTGAGTTTGGTCGTGGTCTCCTTGCAGCCTACATCGACCTCAAGAAGGCGTTTGAATAGGGCCATCACGAATCGCTATTGGAGATCCTGAGACTTAGGGAGACTTAGACACGGATTATTGGGTTGATAACAAGCCTATATACTAGTAATAAAAGTATTACAAAGTGTGGTGGAAGCCTGTCGAACTTCTTCCCTGTTAAATCAGAGGTGAGGCAAGGCTGTGTCCTTGCACCAACACTTTTCAATACTTGCATGGATTGGATAATGGGCAGAGCTACTATCGAAAGTCAGTGTGCAATACCAAGGTCACAGACCTCGACTTGGCCGACGATGTTGCTATCCTATGAGTCTCTGCAACCACTGATGGCGGATCATGATGCATTCAGCAATGAGGCGAAGCCCTTGGGCCTAGAGGTCTCCTGTACCAAGGCCAAGATTCAGGATTTTGGGGTCCTGTTAGGGAAACCCGTTCAGTCGATACATGCTGGCGGTGAGGACGTTGAAGTCAGTTTTACATACTTTGGTAGCACAGTCCATGTCTCTGAGCTGTCAGACCAAGTCCATAGACGGATTGGTCTAGCAACAGGGGCCATGAACT